GGGCCCCGGCGCTGCCCAGACCCCGGCCGAGATCAGGGCCCCGGCGCACCAGGTGCTGCATAGATGCTGACCAAGATCGCAGCCCCCTTGCACTGGCTTCTGCACAGACATAGGGCAAGAGATAGCCCCTTGCCCCAAAGAGCTTCCACTCTCAATAGACAAAGGGCGGGAGGGGAAACCGAGGCATGGAGCAATGACTTGCCGGGGGTCACGCAGCAGAGCTGAGGCCAAAACCCAGCTCTCCTGAATCCCAGCCCCCTGGGCCACTCTGCCTCTGAGCCTGAGCTACAGGGAGGGAGCTGACAGATGTCTGACCCCACAGATTGGGCTGCGTGTTGCTGCGGCCGGCCGTACGACGGATGACGGGCCCTGCTGGCTGGTGGGCACCCAGCCGGAGATGCTTAGACTTCTGTCTGATGCCTGAGTGGAGCAACTGGGAGTCCCGTGGGCTGCAGATGAGGCCCTCTTTCCACGATCCACACCCCTTCACCCAGATCTCCCGGGCACCTGGGCCCAGCCCAGGCCCTTTGCCGACAGACACCGCCGGGAGAAAGCCAGCGAAGGAAGAAAGCAGCAAAGCCAGGGGGCTCTTACCTGGGGCAGGGAGAAGCAGCGGCGGGGAGATCTCTGGCGCGGACGAGAGCGAGGGGGAGGTGATCACGAAGGAGCGAAGGCTGCGATGCCAGGGCTGTGGTTATTATAGCTCCGGCAGCCTTCACGTGGTCTCTGGGCCGTGCCGGGCGGAGGGGAAAGGCCACGGGGCGCGGTGTGAAGGCGAGAGAGGAGGGGGAGGGACCGGCGCGTTTGGGTGTCACACTTCTGGCGCCTGCCGGGACCCGGGAGCGCCAGCGACACGGGCGGGGTGCCCTCAGGCGACTCCCCCCAGGACAGCGCGGGCAAAAGGGCCAGGTTCTTCGGCATCCATAGCTCAGGATGGGCCCTGGGCTGGGCTAGCAGGGGGCTGCGGGTCGGGAGTGAGGGGCACCGGCAGGGCTGGGAGGGAGCCCGGGGCTGTCCCGACAGGTGCCCAGCCCTGCAGGGATGCTGCGAGAAGGGACCCAGCCTGCGAGGCCCGCACAGGGTGCACGTTTCGCATTTCCTCCCGCGCCTCCTTTATCTGAGCCCAGATCTACGCAGCGAAGCTCAGGTGGGGGCCGGCCCCGGGAGCGCTGGCTCTTGCACTCGAGCGCTGGGGCCTGTGTGGGACGGGGGACTGGGGGGGGGGAAGGGAGGGAAAGGATCTACTGGAGCAATTCCCCCAGACCTTCCATCGCTCCCCTCCCCCCACATCAGAGCTATGGGCCCATCTAGCCTGGTATCCCGGCTGTCTGCCTGCACTGGGCTCTTTGGCCCATCTGATCCAAACCCTCCCCCCCAGCCCCCAGTGCTCCTGCGCGTTCTCCCCTCGCTCAGCATCTCGGTAACTTTCCGTCTCCTCCCACCCTCGGCCTGCTACAGGAAAACACGTCGCCACTTTCCCTCCCCTGCTAAAAACGCCACCAGCTGGGGCCGGCCTCCGGCTGGGCTGTGGGTGAAGAGCGGGAAACACTCTACCCCCCCCCCAGGACTATCCCAGGGGAGTGGTCCTTCCCCGTCACCTCCACCAAGGGGAATCGCTCGGTTACCCAGGCAGGGGGCAAAGGTGGGCGATCTAGGGCCCAGCCCAGCCGCTCGCCCCACGGCATCAGGCACAGCCGGGGAAAGGCAGAGCTGTGAATGACAGCTGCCCCGCGGCAGGGAATTCGGCCTGAATTAGGGGCAGCCGTCCGCAGGGTGAGATCGGCTGGCTGGAGGGGGAGGCCGAGGCTGTAAGTGGGGCTGGGGGCGCTCTTCCTTCCCAGCAGCAGGAAGGGACGGATCAGAAGGGAAGCAGAGTTCCCCTGCTCCGGTCTGACCACCGCAGATACTCACAAAAGCCCGACTACTAATCCCACGGTCAGCTAGACTTGGTAGCGCCCCAGGTCTGCTCCAACCCAGAGACCTCATCCCCACTCCCAAAGCCAGGGGCAGAACCCAGCAGTCCTGACCCCCATCACCCTCCCAGAGCCAGGGGCAGAACCCCGGAGTCCTGGCTCCCAGCCCCCTGCTCCAACCCACAGCCCCATTCACACACACACACCCCCCCGAGCCAGGGGCAGAACCCCGGAGTCCTGCCTCCCAGCCCCCACCCCCGTTCTAATCACTAGCCCCTATCTGCCAACGACAGCTCTACTTCCCTTCTGCGGCTCAGCACGTACCTGCTTCTTCCCTCCACAGCTCAGCCACGGGCACCCGAGCCGTTTCGACGCCGGCGCCGTCCCTGCGCGGCTGGGAAGGGACGCCAGAGCCCCCGGCCCCTCCCTGCAGGCCGAGCCAGGATGCTGTTTGGTTTGTGTCTGTTCCGGTCTTGCAGCCGAAGGGGTTTCGTAACCCTGCCGCTCGCCTGGACTTGCTGCCTCTGACAGGAGCCCGCCCGGCCTGTTCCAGCATTGGCACCCTAGGCGGAGGAGAGGCAGGGCGGCTGGCGCTTGCCCCAGCTCTGGGAGGAGAGTGGGGTCTAGTGGTTACAGCAGGGGAGGGTGGGAGCTGGGACTTCTGGGTTCTCATCTTAAGTCTGCCGCTGAATCTCAATTTGACCTGGGGCCAGTCACTCCTCCCGCTGCGTGCCTCAATTTCCCCATCTGCAGAATGGGGATAGAAACACAGAGCTGCCCTCCTGAAGTGACGCACGCCAAGCGCAGAGGGCCATGGTCTCGCCTGCCGGCGAGAAACCTCTGCCTCGGGGCCTGAGCCTGTCCGCACTGCAGCCAGCGGGACGAGTCCCACAAGTGGAAGGAAACTCGGGCTGGATTCTGATCTCGGCTAAATCCGCTCCCAGTCGCACCAGCGCGTCTATAAGTAACAGCAACGATGCCCGTTTCTTCTTTACCAGATCTCAACCCGCCTCACCCTCTTGAACAGATTTATCCTGCCTGTGAGGCAGGGCAGCTTTACCATCCCCGTTTCACAGATGGGGAAACTGAGGCAGGGAGCAGCTAAGGGCCACTTCCTGTGGCCACGGTCACACAGGAAGTCCACGGCAGAGACAGGAATTGAACCTGGGTCTCTGTCATAAGCCACTGCCTAACACTGCCGCCCACCCCTCCCATTCCCCCTAGGATGGCACTGAGCTGACACCACCCCAGAGTAGGTTGTGGCAAACTCTTTATACAAGGATCCTGGGATGGTGTCAGCATTGAAATGCAGCCACCTCTGGGGCAGGACAGGTGTTTATACAGGGATCCTTTGAAGTCAAGCGAGTCATTCTGGATTTACACCAGACTGACAGAATATGGGCCAATACCTCCGCAGCACCACGACCATCTACGGCGCTGCACAAAATTCGATTTCCCTTTATACGTTCATGTCAGAGGAAGAGAGACCCAAAAGCCAACGCGAGTCTCGCCTCCAAGATGCTAAAATTTAATAGTCAAGTGATACTTAATACATTGCAATAACTAACCCAAATTAAACACCGAGCGCGAAGGGGGGGGGGGGGGGGGAACCGCGTAATGTGCCGGTATTCGATTTGCAGCCCGAATGGACCTACTAGCTTTGGCGACGCTTGTCGGGAAGTCTGAGGCCTGGCACATTAGCGAGATGGGTCTCGGAGGGAAACGGGATCCCAGCTGGGGGAACGAATGAGAAAGGAAATGCAAGTCTCTCTTGCGGTGCTCTCCGTGAGCCCTGGATTTCAGTTATTCTCGCTCGGTGGGGAAATAACAAAACATGTGGTTAGCGCGAAACGATTCAAAGCAGCCCCTGCTCACCCGGGATAGGCGATGCCAGAGTCAAACGCCCCTGAATCTCATCCCTTCCCCAGCCTCTCTGATCCCAGACCCCCCTCCCCTCTGAGCTGCAAACTTGGGGTGACCCCAGCTCCCAGCCCTCTTTAGATCAGAGACGGCTCTCACCCCTCGTAGGGGGAGACAGTCCAGGCAGTGGCGAGTTCTAATCCGCTCCAATTAACGGCCCTCGCCAGCCACAGCTGGGCTCCATCATTCCGCTTTGCTTCCGGCGTCGCTTTCCTTCTGGGGCGATGACCCCGGCTTCGCTGGGGGAGGGGAGGGGCTTGCCGTGGCCCCAGACGGTGGAAGGGAAGGGCTTGCCCCGGCCTCGCCTGCCTGCCCCGACTTGGCATCGATGGCAGAATGCTCCTTCTTCACCAGCTCCTCCAGCTCGTTCTGCACAAAAACACAGGGCAGTGGGGCTGGCGAGCAAGGGGGCAGAGCAGGGGAGAAGTTGGCTGCCCTGGGAAGGGGGCTAAAGCAAAGATCTCTGGTGGCACCATTTGTACCACCTTGTCCTTGAGAGAGGTGCTTTCCTCCTCCACGATCTCAGCTCGCTCTGCCGTACTGTGTATCCAGAGATCCCTCACCCGGCGCTGAGATGCAGCCGCCTTTGGGGTGGGGCGGGGCAGCTCTTTATACAGGGATCCCTCATCCAACGCGGAGGTGGAGTCAACTCTGGAGCGGAGCACGGCAGCGGAGCATACCGCCCCTATGAAATGCAGCCACCTCTGGGGAAGGGCAGGGCAACTGTATGTCTGTGAATCGCTCACCCAGAGCTGAAACACAGCATCTTCTGGGGCGCAACGCGGCAACTTCTTAAGCAGGCCCGGAGCAAAGGCAGCTCCAAGCGAATGGGGTCACCAGAGCTCGGATTCTAGCCAGGACACCTGGGCTTGACGCCCTGGACTCTTAAGAAGAGCTTGCATAGGACTTTGGGATGGTGCGTAGACACGGGGAGGCAGGAATACACAGGAAAGGAGTCCATACCTTCCAACCCAGCAGCTCGGCCAGCGCTGTGCAGCCTTCGTCGCACTCCCCGAGCCATGCCACATCCCTGGGACGGGGAGGGAGAGCCCCGCGGGGGAAGAAGCCAACAAGCAGGTGTTAATGAAACGGCTTTGTGATCGGGGAGAACCCCCCCCCACCCCAGATCTCGGATGACCTGCCCTGGAGGCGGAAGAGCCCGCTGCCCGTCTCTAGCGCCGATCAGCTAGGGACCTGAAAGGGCTTTCTCAGCATCAGCGATCTCCCCCCTTGTGAAGGATCGCTGGCCCTGTTTTACAGAGGGGAAACTGAGGCACGTAGAGGTTGGGCAACTTGCTCAAGGTCTCAGCAACTCGGTGGCAAAGGCAGGGCAGGAAGCCAAGAGGTGTAGCTCTCACCATGCCCAGTTCTAAACACTAGACACCCCTCCACCCCGCGCGCACACAGACACACAGACACCTCGAGCCAGGGACAGAACCTAGGAGCCCTGACTCCCAGCCCTCCTGCTCTAACCACTAGACCCCACTCCCCTCCCAGA